TAATTACTTTTGAAAATAAGTAATCAGTAAAGTAACGGGATTACTTTTTGGGGGAGGTAATTAGTAATTAGTTACTGATTACTTTTTTCAAGTAACTTGACCAACGCTGATTGTCACATAGATGATGAATGTGTATGGTCTCATGTTCATATGTTTAGGTAAAATATCAAAATCTAAAATTCGGTTTGAGCCAAATCTGAAAGGAGTTCAGACGCAACAAGGACATCGTGTTACATGTTGGAACAAGATTCTCGACCACCTGATGGATGTTAAAAGTAGGTCTCTGAGGATTTCTTCCAGCTTAATAAGTGACTGTTTGGTTTGGCCTCTCCACCCTGACCTGCAGGGTGCAAGCTCGGCAGCCCGGCGAATATCTCTCAGCTGAACAGCGTTACTTTAATGTTTTTTAGCCCTTCATTGCCAAGACTTGGAGGAACAACTCTCAGGTATCAGTGATAATTACCTCACATATTAGTTTTTTATTACAAGAAAACACATATTAGGACCAACACATTGTTAGTGGTGTCTAAAGTCAAGTTTTATAAGCATACCTGTGCGTAGGCAGAGCTGGTCAAAGTCTGAGCAGCAGCCATTGTAGGTTTTACACAGGTTGTCGCAGCGACAGTTTGGCGGCTCCAACTCAACCAGCTCGAAACACCTGTTTCTGCAGGAGCCGGAGGTCGCCACGTAGTGAGACGCAGAGCGAGCTGGGGAGGAAGAAACAGAGGTTCTAATGGGTCTTTAAAAAATGTCCAAAAAAGAGGTGAAAGGTTCAAAACGACACAAAAGTGCACACCAATACTGCTGAGCTGTGCAGCGATCTCGATGCAGTGACCACAAGCATGTGACTGAAGGATTGGTGGTTCGTTTGACGTTGAAGACGGCTACAGAAACAGATCACTAGTCATTCTGCCACGTGCAGGTTATTCTTCACTCCTGTGGCTGCTTCCTGGAGAAACACCTGAGCTGTTCAGTTTTAGCACCCAGTGGTGCCCACCAACGTCACAGCTGATTAACTCCACATCTATTTACATGTGAGGTTTAGAGCATTAGCTGGAGGGACAATAAATCAAAGACATTGTCCAAAAACTGAATGAAAAGCTGCACTGTTCACATGTCTTTGAAAGGAAATAATAACTCATAACAACTGTGACAAAAGCTCAGTTTGTGTCATGGGCCAAACTCAACAGTTACTGAGCTTTAACTCTTCTCCCGGGACCCCAAACTACGCTCACGTTGTCTCACTGTGGGAACTCTCAGTGCCTAAGACACAATCATCCTTTTGTCCTCCATATATCCAAAGGAACATGGCCTATTTTGGCTCCTCTGACCTAACTGAAGACATCCTGAGATCTGAGAGTGAGACAGAGTGAAGCTATTGCTAAACAACATGCTCCTTGTGCAGCCGCTTACAAAAAAACAGTTTTCCTTGCAGAAAGTGCCTCAGGATGCCAGCACGAGCTTTTCAGCCCGTGGATATATACGTATGTGTATTTTTGTAACTACATGTGACTATGCATATGCACTCTAGGCGAAGGAGCTGAGGTGTTGCACTTCAATTATTTATGGTCCCCAGCCAGTTGGCACGCCGGTGTAGTGTGTGTGTGTGAGTGCAGTAAAGCCTGAATAGCTTCTTTGCTATAAGACTCAGGCCTACTCTGTACCAGCGGCAGTGGACTATAGGTCAAAGGTGAAGTCTTTTAGTTTATCACAGCACAGCGAGTGCGATTTCCACACGTCTGTTTACACTAACGTCAAGAGAAAATGAGAAGACTTCCTCAGAGCCCATAAAACCCGTCGACTGTGCATGCACTCGACTATTAACTGCATGCACAGCTCAAGTTTCCCCAAGAGACTGCCACTGTCACAGTCCATTTTCACGCCCGCACTGCAGACCTGAACTTTACTAACCATTGCCCAATGGGACTGAACGCGAGAAGGAAGGACACGGTCTAACTGGACATTAAAGGGTGTTTAATCTGCCAGCTCCCTCGGAAAAAGTCCCTGAGGTGTCCAGTTGCATCATTGTAGGAACAAGAGCAGGTAATTGTCCGGTGAGGTCATACAGCACACTTGTCTAAAAGTCTTTCCACTAGTGTGCTGTATCCGAGTCAGGTCAACGCCGGATAATTCGACCTGATTCTCCACGTTTCATGGAGTCCATTTGTAAAAACAGCTCAACCCTCACTGTTTAACAGGGGGACAGCGTCTGAGAACAAAACAAAGTAAAGAAAGCAAAATAAGCAGCGTAGGTTCGTCAGGTTCCACAAGGCTGGCCAGAAAGACCAGTTTTGTGGGTTATGACGTATCTAAGCTGTAGATTTAAGTATAGAAGATATGGAAGATGAATGTTGCTGCTTTTTAGCTCGTTTTGAAGCTTCCCACCAGCTTTCCATCTTGGTTCCAAGAAAACTGACATGTCAGAAAGAGCTAGTCCTGACTGTGAACCTGCTTACTCATTGGCTATCAACTTGTCAGTCAATACGCGTATCAAGAATAATCGTCCTTTTTGAGACATTCTATGAACAAGATTTACAAAAAAGCTTTATTTTTTATTCAGTATAACCCAAAATGAGTGAACGAGTCCATGAACTGTGATCGCAGAGGTCAAATCAGAAAGCTGTTTTCTCATAGACTTGTATAGGGCCAGTAATCTTTTAGCAACCACAACTATCGCCATCTGGTGGGCTGCAGATGAAATGCACGTTTGAGGCACTGCTTATGTTCTCTATGACAGTGTTTCCCAACCACTGTGCCAGAAATGATCAGGTGTGCCGTGGAAGATCATCTGGTTCCATCTGATTAGTACTCTAAGCCAGCGGTCTCCAACCTTTTTTGCGCCACAGACCGGTTTATGCCCGACAATATTTTCACGGACCGGCCTTTAAGGTGTCGCGGATAAATACAACAAAATAAAACTAGTACCGGTACAGAAAAAAAGAAAATTTATTCATAACACACGTGAAAAGACCCAGGAAAACAGAGTTAACGATAAAAACGATAACAAAATAACGCTGAAAACCGATAAAAACCCTGAAAAACATACATTTCACACCTGAGCCTCAACTCACAGCCCGGTACCGGTGCGTGGCCCGGGGGTTGGGGACCGCTGCTCTAAGCGATCGGCGTGAGTAACGTGCAGAACAATTACATTCTCTTCCACTAGAGGGCAGTACAACTACCTGCTCCAATTCAATGTGTTGCCAACTGCCAATAAAACAGAAGAAGATGAAGAAGAAATGACATAATAGTCATGCTGTGAGACGACGCAGCGCATAATAGCAACAGATAAATGTTTGAAAATAAAAAGTAGTCAGTCTGACCTGGTCATGGAGAAAACTCCGCCCCCATGAAGACCCGAGCATGAGTAGTGGTCAAAAGAAAGCAAAACAGGTATACTGGGGACAAACTGAGCCAATTCTACTACGCCTGGTGCGCAGGGAAAAATGATCAATATGCTTTTGTGACATTTTTGCTTGGTGGTGTGCCATGTGTTTTTTCTAATGTGAAGTATTTGGAATAAGGTTTGGAAACACTGCTCTATGGATTTAGCACAGAAGTATTAATCCACAGTATGAGCATATGAGGAGGAGCTGCTAGCAGCTGGTGATGTGCCACTCAAAAGTAAACTTGGTAGTGGTGTTCATGGGTCAGGAAGACAGGAAATTGCTGTAAATTGCCTTTACATAAGATAAGATAAGATAAGATAAAATACATGGTGGTGAAGGAGGGCTAGACCCAAGTTACAACATGTCAGGTAGAAAATTTGATTTCACCATGTGACAACAGTGTGCAGACTCTTTACGTCCTAAGGTGTCTGCACACTGTTGTCACATGGTAACGTTGTCACGACCACTCCTCAGGCTTAGGAGTTACAAGGTTACTTTAGTCATTTTTCTTCAAGTGTCAAACAACTCAAAGGAGCCACAATTCAAGTGTCAAGCAGCTCTGCTATACTTTCCCTTTTTTTACTCGGGGTACTTTATGTGTGATCTACACCAGTGGTCCCCAACCCTCGGACCGGTACCGGTCCGTGAGTCGTTTAGTACCGGGCCGCGAGAGTTGAGGCTCAGGTGTGAAATGTCTGGTTTTCAGGGTTTTTATCGGTTTTTCAGCGTTATTTGTTTACGTTATTTTTTTTGGTACCGGTACTAGTTTTATTTTGTTGTATTTATCCACGACACCTTAAAGGCCGGTCCGTGAAAATATTGTCGGGCATAAACTGGTCCGTGGCGCAAAAAAGGTTGGAGACCGCTGCTCTACACTGTGTAATGCTGCTGCCTGCTAATCACAGATAAAATATTGTTGTTTTTTCTACAGCGTCATAAATATTATTACCACAAATTTCCTTAAAAATATGGTGACATATTTGTCGCCAACCCCCAGTTTATACTGAACAATCATGTATTCAGAATAGGGCTGGGCCATATCATACCGTTCACGCTAACACTGGTACAATGTTAGGCAACGATAAGAAAATGAAATATCGCGATAGAATATGGGTGAAACGCGCATGCGCAGTGCCTTTGTTTTCATACGCACATGACCGAAAAAGCATGGCGCCAACGGAGAATGAGAAGGGAGAAAGCGGTGTCGCTACCCGATCTGTACCGGAAACCCGATCGGTACCCCGCATGCGCAAATCTTGCGTCACTTCCTCTCTTTGCCAACATTGCGACATTTAGTATATTTGAATGATGCGGTTAGCTTCTAGCATTTGTCGACAGCTCTGCCTCCTTTTCGACTGCCGGGACATTTAAACAATGGATGTGTACAAGCAAATTCATGCTTTTCTCCTCAATGGAGAGCTTCCCCTGACTGAAGAACTGCGCCGTAAAATACAAAGAATGGCGCCTAATTACAAACTGAAGGGTAACTACGAAAATTAATGTTGATCTTTTATTTATTTTATTTATTTATTAATTTTTTTACTTTTATTTTTTAAAACCCTTTTCTCTCTCTCTCTCTCTATCTATCTATATAGATGTAGATATATAGATATATAACAAAAAAATACAACTGTCATATATACCCTATATATAGTTTTAAAAAATAATTTCAATTGAAGGTAATTGAAGGTAAATGTACCATACTGGTGCAGATACATTATCCCAAACTTTATTAATATCTGTCAGACATTTTATTTTACTTCAGTCAGCAACTCTTTCAGCTTTTTACATTTTCATCTTGTACCAGTCAACTGACTCTTCTACACTGGCCCCAGTATGCAGCGCATGCGCCTGGTAGTCATGTCAGAGGAGGAGAAGAATGACATGGAAAGCCACAATAACCCTGGTACCGGGAACCACAATGGTGTCAGAGGTACCCGAAAAGGGTTGTTGCTGGCTATTACTGGCCAACATTGAACCAGGACATCAGTGAATGGGTATGGCCTTATTTCAGTTAACAAGATAAAGAACCTTGTCTTTACTTGCACACTTACATTTCAACATTAGTTTCTGTGTGTGTCTGTTTTTTTGGGGTTTTTTTTATTGTTATCAATTTACATCAACTGGTTTTTCGGTATCCTAGAAATATTGTTTGGGATACATCTTTCAGTTCAGATGCTGTCATCGCTGCCAGATGAATGACCCAATCAAGACTGTGGCACCAGCATTACATCCCATCAAGGTGCTAATAAGCTTGTGTGCTGCAGGGTAGCTTTAAATTTTAATTTGATAAGTTCTGTGAAATAAAGGTAAAAGAACCTTGGGAAGTGCTGGGCATGGATTTAACTGGACCACTCCCGGAAACACGTCTAGGGAACCGATATGTCCTGACAATGACCGATCTGTTTACTAAGTGGGCGATTGCAGAACCTCTTAAGTCCAAGACTGCAGCTGAGGTCTCTGCAATCATGACCTCGAAGTTATACATGTTTGCCATGGTCAAGAAAATCATCACTGACCAAGGAAAGGAGTTCGTGAACCAGGTAAAACTTGTGAAAGTGTTATTCATGCCTTGATATGATATGATGTATTTAGGCCAAGTTTGCCCATGTCACTGCAGCTCAACAACAGCATTTTCAGCATGCTGAATATTAAACATGCTGTCTCCAACGGGCAGGTAAGCATTTGGATGGCTAACCTTGAGTCACTCATGTGAAATCAGTCATGCTTATTTATCTATTCTACAATAAAACTCAAAGGATGAGAGGACCAACCAGAACATTAAGCGTCCTCTCAGAAAGTACGTCAACCAGAACCACGATGACTGGGACGTACACCTTGCTGCTGTGGTGTATGGCATCAACACTGCAAAGCAGGTATTCCTGTTTTGACATTTTGTATTCCTTTTAAGATACTTTACAGTGTTGCATCGTTTTAAGAATGTGTTTTAAACTTACATTTTAAAAAAAGGCAATTGACAAGTGCAAGAGAAAGTGAAATAATGGAGAGTTTTGTGCGATTAGCACTCCACTCGCCACAGCCCCTATTTCCTGCTCTTCCACCGACATCCACGTCTTCCTGCTGTGATGAACGCCTGTCCCATGGACGATGACTTTGAGGTTGCAAACCCTGAAGAGGACATCGAGTTGAGGAGATGACAGTTCTGTACATTTGAAAGGGGCTGACTGACAGGGAAAGGAGATTTGTTTAGGAAAAAAGGGAAAATGTGGTTGATAACATTCTCATTTTTATTGTGTATTCAACACTTTCTCACTCGGATTTTTGTGTCATTTTTTTGTAGGTTCTTCGCAACATTGAGAGGGAACAGGACACCCAGAAGAAGACCTTTGGAACACGGAAAAGGAAGCGGGTAAGACAGCGTGTTGTTCAAGCAGGTGATGATGTTCTTTTGTCAGGTGATCCAAAAAGACGACGCACTGGAGATGCATTATTGAGCCAACACCAAGGACCGTACACAGTGGCCAGCATCACGCCAAAGGGGGTGGCCACTGTTGTGAAGGGAGCAACTTGCCAGAAGGTAAACGTGTCCAGGCTGAGGAACTACCACAGATCAAAAAATAAGAGTATGACATGCAATAATAAT